TTGCTACAGTAACAGTCTTTCCTTCACCATCTCCCAGTGCCTACATCACACACAGCAACAAAGTGAAATGGTTACTGTATACATCTGCTTACCTCAAACTCAGTCATAAAAGGCTGGTTGTTGTTGGCGTGTTTCTTCTCCACATGCTCCCAAACAGAGCCACTGGCAGAGGTACTGGTCTCGCATGAAACTTACCTGAAGGCTTGGGTACTGGATCAGCCTCTTCCTCCTCCTCCTCTCCTCCTCCTCATCAGCTAGATAGGAGAGGTAGGGTATAGCTTGTACTGTAGCTGGCTGTTGTGAGGGACTGTCAGAGTGAGACTGAAAGTGTGTTTTGACTTCATCTTTCTCAGAGGATAGCTCTCCACCTGCCAGACTCTCTCCAGCTGAGAACAAGATACTAACTAGTCTTAGGCCGTACCAATATAGTATTGACTCACTGGAAAGCTGGTCCAGAGAAATGTCTTGTGTATCTCTAGAGTGTGGCAAGGTGCTTGTTTGCGCGTGACTTTAAAGTGACCCATTGAGAAAAGACCCTTCATAGTTGACTTTTTCCTGCAGAGCACACACAACAGTGTAGCCATGAAAAAACATTCCCAGTGCACATCTACACCTTCTCATTAGCCAGATAGCAGCAATGATGCCCAGAGTAGCTCCAATAAGAAACAGAACAGACACTATCACACCAGCCACTACTCCACCAACATTACTGCCACCTTCTCTAGTGTCTGCTGTGGTAGGAGGAGATGCTTCAGTGGTTGTCACTACATGGTAATTTGTTGGGTGAGTCTGTATTATCACGCAAACGTGCAGGGTACTGATATAATGCATAGCTCTCATATAGCTACCTGTGGTGCTTGCAACAAGCTTTCATTAGTGAACGGTCCAACAGCAACAGTGAAAGCAGCAACTTTAATCTCATACTCAGTCGATGGTTTTAACCCAGTGATAGTGAACTCCATATCACTCCAGTAGTAGTTTCATTATGGAACATTTCCGTCCCATTTTCTCTGAACATCACCACATAACTAGTGATATTTCCATTGCGATCAGCACATGGCACAGGACCCCATTTTATAGTGATGGTTGTCGATGAACTTCCTTCCCATGACATTCCTTTTGGAGATGCAGATGGTGCTGAAAAAATGGGCAATTTTAAGAATCGTACAAGATTATGAAATGAACACACCAGTTGCATTAGTCACTACAGTCTTGAAAGTACAGATAGAGCCATTTATGCAAAGTGTGATGTTATACTCGGTGAATACTTTCAGACCATCTATCACATAAGAGGATTTCCCATTCACAGAATCGTTCTTTAAACTTTGATCGATATTTTGTGTACAATGGCTTGATAGAGTGCTGATCCATGTGATTAGGACTTCATAGTCAACTTCAGGCCATGATAGTTAATCGAAGTTGATGTTGTGTGATATCACACATGAACTTCAAACTGCACACAAGAACTGGTAACTAATCATAATTGTGCCCCTGAAGTACTGAACTCACATAGCGATGTTGATGTGCGATATGTTTCCAAAAAACTCCTATGCCAGCTGTGTTGTTTGCGGCCACTTTAATCAAGTATGCAGTTGATGGCTGCAAGTCGGTCGGTATAATGTGCACCCATATGTCCGACACTGCTTTGTATTTCCACCGTCTTTTTTCCTATATCGTATTTCATATCCTGTTATATTCCCATTCATGGCAAGTCAACAGGCTGCCAACTGATGGTGATGGTGAAGAGTGTCTGGTTTACTGTCACTATGTCTGTGGTGGGCAGATGGTGCTGCATTCTACATAGTTACTAAGGTTTACCACAATGAGAAACCATGGCTGTAGATGCCCATCAATGGGAATACCGGGTTGGAACTTTACAACAAGAGGAGAGACAAAATACAATTTGTAGACAGGAAACGTCTAGCAATCCAAAGGGGGGGGGAACTAATTACCTAAGTTATATGCGGGCTTCAGCTCCCACTTGGGAGGACATGAGACATAACCAGAAAGACACATGTACGCACTGCCCTTCCATCAAGCAAGGTAGTGTTTCAACTGTAGAGGAATTAATCACTGTGTAAGATACAGTAAGAGGAGGCCGCACGGAGGTCCAATATACTAGTATTCCTTCAGTTGCAGGGACTGGGGAGGGGGGACTCCATGATGCATGATGCTGTCTCAGTATTTTGTCTCCAGGGTCAGAGTAGTTGGGGGAGGGGACTGGGATGGAACTGGAATAGCCAAAATGAACAAACAATTGTGTATGTATCATCTCTATTACCCACCAACTTACCGCTAACTATGAGACTTGATGATTTACTGGATGGCGGTTTTGGACCACAGTACATGGGTAGTTTCCTACACACCAGAGGCCCAGCTGACAGTCAGTAGTGTGGTGTGTACTGTGCAGTCACTCGGTCATCCAACACAGCCTCAGCCGTTCCTGTGTGACAGTGGTGGACGTCTCTGCTGTCAAGTGACAGTGGGTAGCTGGTCCACAGTGAGTTACATGGTGAGGATAGTTGGGAAATGCAACTATCCGTTTCGAAATTTGCTCTGATCTCAGTGGGTGACAGCGATATCACCTAATGAATGGCAATAAAGTTGCTTTGGGCTGCTGCATAGAGCTCTGCCCTCACTCCATTAGATAGAGTCCGACATATATGCATTCTCGGTAACGTACACCGATATCAGTCGGGCATGACGGAACTGCATTGGTTGGTATGTCGCGAGCGAATTATATACGAGATGTACCTGTGTCCTACGGCGAAGATCAACCCTTTGGGCACCTCGACTCTCACCACCAGCTCGTTGAGGAGAATCGGTGATGGAAGTCGTGTGTTCCATAGGAAGTACCAGTCTCCTCAGTAAAATCCTGTGCAACACTGCAGCATGTACTCAGATCAGTTGTGACCCCGAACACTGGCACTACACTAGCCTTGTCCCACACGACGTGAGGTCACATAGCATGGTTGCAGAGTTTGTCCACCGACGCTGACATATGGAATGTCTGAGCCAACAGACAGGGAACACACCGACAGATATCAGGATTCACACTTCCAATCCTCAACATCTGCATTGGAAATGTGCTGAAAGCTAGAATGACAAGTATAATTTGGTTGTTGTTCGGACTACAATTTACTATCCCCACTACCGACCACGATCGATTAAAGTGTCAAACCCTCGGCGAACTGCGCATGCGCGGTACCAGCTATTGATGGGTTGGCTAGAGTTACTCGTGGTCTCGCGTAGTAAGCTCACGGGGAGTCCGACCAGCGGCTAGCTACCGTAGGATTAGCATAGCGCGGGAGTCGATGCACGTTGTTTGTTTGCGACTGTCTTTTGTGCCTTGAACATCCACAGAACAACCTCTGATCTTAGCTTCGCTAACACTTGGTCTTTTACGCGCTGAACGCGCACGTTTACGAAATCGCCATTTTAAAAATGAGCCAGGGTAGCGTCTGAACCGTTGGCGTCGCTATCTTTTACCTGTTTGTTGCGCGTGGTGGCAGAAAACAGACGGACAGAACTCCCGCTACGCGCGCGCGAACTGCGTATGCCGATACAGGCTGAAAACCACGGCCATGTCAGCCATGTGCACACAAACTCTGTTTCGAGTGAAGAGTGTGACAGATAAAAATACGTGCTGTCGACACAGCAATGTATCCCAGGGCAGAAACACTGCGCCGGACATCCGAGGCCGTAACATTAGTGCGGCCGACATTGTGACACCCGCGAACGTTTTCAGTCCTGTTGCGTCATCGTAAAAAAGATCGCACAGGTGTCAAGGGTGACTTACCTCGAACCGAAGCGGTCAAGGCGATGCGCCTGGTCGTCGGTCCGCACACGCACGCGCACACCTGACATGGATTACTGGGATCCGGGAGAACGTGGATGGATCCAGGCTTCAGTCAAAATGTGCATGCGCATCGCCTCGTGCGCATGGCTCTGGGCGCGCCGGGGCATTGCAGCCATGTCCGAAGCGAGGACTGAAACTGAGCTATTACTACAGGTGGTGGGGACGGGTGAATGAATGTGAAGTTTACTTCGTTGTGACTTCTTGTGCCTTCAAGAGCAGGCGGACCCTGTCGCGCCTGTGCTAATTTGCATATTGGCTTGTTCCTGCTTGCTTTTCGCTTTAGTTTACGAAAATCGCCTTTTTAATACGAAGCCAGTTTGGCGATGAACCCGTTGGTATCGCTATGTCGTTGCGCGTAGTCGAGACACACACACACACAACTATTCACATGCGCGCCGAGAGTCTACTGCTACGCTCACACACCCACGGCCCCGCAATGCGCGCGACGACTTAAGATACGCCCCCCAAAAAAATATACCACGTCATGTTTCCGCTGGCCACGGCTATCCGCCGTGCAACTCCCGCTACGTTACCTAGCGGCCTTTGAGGTTGTGCGCGTTGGCGTATAGAACATGCGCAAGTGGGGAACTCGGACTCTTCCCGGTGCGAGCCACGAGACGGTCCAAAAATCACGACCGTCCGATGAACTATACCTGAGATACGTTCCCAATCATGAACTCGAGACTTTCGCTGGTACATAGCTGTGTTTTTCAAGTCCAGAAGTGCTTCGGCCAGCGAGGAAGCTGCCATCACAATGAACTACCCGCTACTTTCCAAGAACTGTGGGAAGTATGATGATACTTATTTTTTGTGCCACGGTAGATGCCCACCCCAATGGGATGTGTTATTTAGCTTGTTTCCATGTGCCACCGCCGCATCCATGGCACAACGTGGTCTTCCAGGATGTGCATTTTGGGGAGGACTGTTGCAGTGGGAAACTCCTCCCTGTACTGCTCCCATGAAAGCTGCTGTGTCTCTCTCTAGAGTGTACTATTCGAATTTCTCTGTTACCAAGTCAATCAATGGCGACGCTGTCCACTACCCCTCCATTGAACACATTGTGGCACTTGGCATACTGGGTAAGTACCTCAGTCAAGCACTTGTATGTGTCATTGGCCTTTTGCAACAGTTCAGGGCACTTCTCTTCAACTATGGCCACAATACCAGAGCACAACACATCAGCAGATTGTTCCTAAATGTGAACGTAGTGTATATATGTGTGTACCTTGAGCAGTTTATGCACATGAATCCCGACGAAAGTGCCCCCATGGTAAGCTTGGCGTTGCACATGTAGCTTCGCTAATGCAGTGTCTAGGGACTGTAAACAGGGACCGTCTTTGTGTTGAAAACGTTCAGCCAACACCCAGTGCAGTGCAGTTACCTGAGCAGCCTGGAAGACACATGGAATGATGGAGGTATCCAGAATACTATTGCTATGCCATTTACTAGCTCTTTAACTTCTCTCTGCAGCCTTCCTCCTCATACACGACAAAGGATGTCGAATCGGTGCACCTCTGCCATTGCCAGACACTTGTATTTTGTGTGTGTGTAGCTGGCTCCAAAAAATAAGTATCATTTAGATCCCTATATTATTGGATACTTCCACTCTTACTTGGTCTATTGTATTACCATTATTCAATAGAAAGCGCTTCCTGGACTGAGTTATGGCTTCCACTACGCCGGTACCCCGCGCGCTTCTCTGCCGCGGAATGTTCATTTGACCGCTGCGCAGTAGTATACGTATTGCAAGAGCAGCTGCGCAAGTAACTAACGGTTGTCATGGATGATAGAACAGCATAGTAAACACATTAGGTAGTCCATAGTATGGTCTCTGGACGGCCAACGGTATCCAGAAGGTACCGCTTCTTTTTGAAAACGGAGGGGGCGTGTCCAATTGCGTTCCGGGGGCGGCGCGCGCACATTTCCAATTTTTCTTCGTGCGCGCGTTGAAACAGCCGTGGCCACAACACGTCGACAATCTTAGCGCGAACTCTCAGCTATGGCTGGTGCCCACGCGTGCGGTGCTGCTTTTGTGAAGGGTCTGGGCACCAGACTATGTATAACCTGACATGTCTGACTTTCTGACTGTGGTGACGTGTATAGCCCGCATATAGCGCACCAAACCAGCGCAGACCCGCCGCGCACGCACGCGCACTTCCACACACAAACCATGATGTAAGCACGATCTGCGCATCGTGATAAAATCTGATATGACGATAAAACAAAAACTATGTTGTAAAGTTTGAGTATGTTTCAAATGAGTCAATGAACACCAAAAGAGCTTCAAAAATTGACTGATACTGTTCCTGTTGAATGAAAGCACCTGTTCAGTAAATCCAAAGAACTTTGAAAAGCTATACACATACCAAAGTTTGTATGGCTCCAGGTTTCTGAACTCTCATGGCCTTGACCACCTGGAACACATCCACCACTCCCTCTGTCTTACACCTCTCAATGGTGGTGGCCACACCACAGAATATGGCTGATCTACTCACTGTATCACTGTATAGCAATAGATTTGGATAACTACAATGTTCAGAACTCAAGGAGTTCAGTCACTTTGCTATTGAATATACTGACACCACCAATAACAGTTAAGATGAACTCTCGCATGTCTAGTAAAGGTGTCAGTTGTATGTGGAGGAATAATAAGTTTGGCCTGTTTGTGAGGACATTTGCTAACACAGAGCCGTACAATGACACTGACTGTCTTCAATTGATAGGGTTAATAGCTTTTAATGTGCATTAAAATTTTTCACGTCCATGTCAGTAGGAGAATGGGTTGTTGTGGGTGTTATGCCTTGCAGTTGATTTTTCTACCATTGACAGCTTTATAATGATCCACTAGCTAAAACTCACAGTCCATGGACGACAATGGGGTGGTTCCCAGTCTTCCTCTGGACCTTGGAGACTTCCTCTATGACAGAGACCATGGCATTCACATCCCCACGCCACTGGTAGTCTGAGCTCCACTCTGGGATGTGGAACTGCCACACCTGATGGGCTGTGGCAAACTGCAAGTTCAAATCAATAACTGCATGGTATATTGTACAGTGTAGAGAGCTACGAACTCAACTCCCCTTCATCTTATTTTGCTAACCTTGGCCTGCTGGACAGAGAAGTTTCTGTATAAGAATCCACTCTTCCACCCCTCACTGAGCAGCTCTACTCTGAACTCCCCATACGTCTGTGCTCTCTTCCCAGGCCAGTACTGGTAGCACACCTCCTGGTATACCACAAACTGATTACATCACCTCTTAATGAAACACAACTCTCAAGCTAAACCTAGAGTTTACAGTACACCATTGAGTGGGGCAGATTCAGTGGATTGTGGTTTGATCTTTCATCTTTCACTTTCACAAGCAGAAGTTTACGACGCTCTTGTGCAAGCAAGTGCTTAGTACAATCAAATCTAGTCTATTACAGAGGTTAAAACATATCACCATCATATAGAAATGTGTCACCTCATCAAGTTCAATGAGGTCTGATAACATGACGACCACACTACACTTCCTGCTGTAGACCATCTTCCAGAAGTCTCTGGCAGTGGAGCGCATCGGTCCCTGTGTGATGATGAACGCCCTGTGCTTCTTGTAGCCCTGCAGACACAGCATGGGGAATACATTTCTCTGGGCCTACCTCTTCCAATAGAAACACAGATAGAGCAACAGTTTCTTACATGGACACTGCTAGCATGTATGTAGTCTGGATTTTCTCCTTTCAAAACAACTCTCCAATTGTCCACTGTGTGTTTGGGAAGGGAACACAGGTCACTTGGGTAGCACATTAGGATGTGTGTTGGGAAATGACCTGGTAAGAAGTCAGTAGATCTATTCTTGGCGAGGTTGTTTTGTGCAGCAAATGACTTTGCCTCTCCTACGTTTGAACTCACCTGGTCCAGGATCTGCGTAATTTCATCAATACACTCATCAAAGATACATGGTTTAACAAAGTGTACTCAAGTACCACCATAAAACACATCAGACATGCACAAAGACTGAGGAGGAGCACTTTATATCGAATGTGTTTGCATGGAGGGCTTAAGGTAGGTTGAAAAACAGTGCAATGTGTGTGTGTACCAGAGTCTGGACCATGTTGGTTCTCTGTTGTCTGAGTTTGAGGATGACTCCAGGGATGTCCACCACTCCCTCTGTCTCCCTCTGCTCCAGGACATGGTCTATGGCTATGAATGTCCCTGTCCTTCCAACACCAGCACTGCAGAGGCGGGAACATATACCAGGGGGTCATTTGCACAGGGTTTAAACTTTGACTTGGTCTACTGGGGGATCTCCCCCAAGTATGACTCGGCATTTATGCACAACACCTGATAAACACTTGGGAATATTGCAATGTTATAGGAAAGGAAAACTGAGGTCCCATGCCAGTTGCATCTAACAGCAAGTTCATGGACAACAATGTGTTTGTGGCAACGTAATACACCAGCCACACTATGTGCAACACAGCAATGTCACATTGAATGAAAGAGAGAGGAAATCATCTCCTAAATGCCGTGTTCCAGTACACCTCACCTACAGTGCACTAGTAGAGGACCTCTGTGGGCCTTGTGGTCTTTCATAACCATCTTATGGAAGTTGAGTATGGAGGTGGCATAGTCGGGCACTCCGTGGTCTGGCCAGGCTGTGTAGTGGAAATGATTCACCTTCCTGGTCTTCCCTGAGAGCTGCAGACAGCAGAGATACTTCAAGTGGGGTATAGGGATGGTAAGAAACACCAAACAGAACAAATTTGGTGGTGATACTGACAGGAACAATGAGTACATACTATTGGCAGGAGAAGGATACAGGGAGTGTGTATGTGTGCTTATACTTCCAAGTTGGTTCAGACCTCTTTGTTACATGATAATCTTCTGCTATGGGGAATCAAATTTACTGCTATAAATAATTATACTAGACTTGGCCAGTAACTAACTGATCTACTGCTTGTGCAAAATGTGGACCCAGTACTCTGTCCCTAATACCTCAACACTGAGTGTCCTGATGATGTAGTCAGCGAGGGTGAGTTGTTGAGTGATGGATATGTGGAACGGCCCGAAATCCTGAGACCCAGAGGACGGCCAGTACTGCTCACACTTTGTCTTCTTCCCCTCCACCAGGTTGGTGATCATCACCACTGACGGCACTTTCTCCTGCCACACAAAGCATGACTCGGCATTTATGCACAACACCCGTCAACTATACTACTGGAAGTCAACTATACTACCGGGGATTGGCCCTGGGTGGGTAGTATTGCAGTTTTAATCAGCTCTCAGGAGTTTCTGACCCCTACCCATCTTGTTATTAGTCCAGCCCCCTTCATCCACGCCCCCCAAGGCCTGGCCTTTCACGCGCATGCGCCTCGGCAGTTGACATGCAAGGCATTGCAACACTCCAGGATCTCTGGAGTTAAATAACATCATGAAGTGAACTAAAACTAATACACACTTGGCAACAATTGCGTTGCATGAGCTTATAGCTATAACACGTCTAAGAAGCAAAATTTGAGTATGTTTCGAATGAGTCAATATACGCTAAAAGAGCTTCAAAGATCGACTTATACTGTTCCTGCAAGTGGAAAAATGTGTGTCTGATCAACATTCATAAATGCTAGTGCTCATACCAAAGTTTGTATGGCTCCAGGTTTCTGAACTCTCATGGCCTTGACCACCTGGAACACATCCACCACTCCCTCTGTCTTACACCTCTCAATGGTGGTGGCCACACCACAGAATATGGCTGATCTACTCACTGTGTTACTGCAGATAATTGAAAAGGGGATGTGAATAATGGTGCAAATGTAGGAGGTTCCAACCCACTCTTTATTACTCTTGTGCAAGGCATACTTTGCATGTGTTTGTGCAAGGTGTATGTACCTCGCATGCGTGCATGTGAAAACTATGAGGTAGAAAGGCAAAGGCACAACAAACAAATCAACTACACCTAGGTCAGCTCTTTTTTTCCAAGGAAAAATAAAGAGCTGCCCTAGGTGGGATTTGAACCCACGACACTCTGCAGTCTAGGCGAGCGCTCTACCAACTGAGCTACCAGGGCAACCCAGCTGGTAGGGGTTCGAATCTACAACACAACACAACACAAGGCAAACCTCCAACCACTGTGCTATGGCACAGTAAACTCTCACTTAGCATGTGCACACAAGCAAGCAAGCAGGCAACTAGATATTTAATGGCCACGCCAGATTGTGACACATTTAGTCTGCTGCATACGTGGGCATTT